TAGCCGTAGATTCGCCTGGAGAGTCCCTGACTGCATGCATAAATAGGGGGACCCCAATATAGACCCCAAAATATGATAATCCTTTACAGGGAACCCAACGAGGTACCCCTGATTTTGGGACACTCCCATATGCCAAAATCAGCACCGATGTTTTCTCTTGCCTGGACAGTAATAAGTAGTAACCTAGACCCTCCAATCTACCCTCTATAGACCCTAAATACGGACCACGTGCCCCTGTTTAAAGGGTACAAGGAGGGTACTGGAATACTTGCATTTATGTACTGATGGGTTTTGCGGTAAGACAAACTCAAGACGGTTCTAAGCTTCAAGTCAAGGGGGGATGCAGGAATGGAAAAGAAAATTGGTCGTGGAAATGGTTGAATGATTCCCATTACTAGGTCGCTTTAATATGTGTGTGGGCCGAAGCCTGCCTTGTCGTGGTCCCAGACCTCTGTCAGTGGCCCTTACTCCAAACGGCATTACGCCCTTGTTGTAGGGTCGCATGACCGGTCTTTCTATCACAAACCCTCTGATCTGTTATAAATCCAACGCTGTTGGGCTAACCCCATACAACCCCAAATAACAATCCCTCCATCCCTTTCCTTGGGATGAGGCGGGAAAGCTTGGGCTAGTATGGCTAAGCTTCCATGGGAGAAGGACTTGAAGTCGAGGGTTGTCGTGCCAAACTCGCAAAAGAGCCTCAGTCAGCAGAGCCCTTTTGCGAGGAGAGCCCAGAAGCCATAATCCTGCACCCTGAACCCTAGAGTAGCTAGAGGGGTATTTTGGGAGTACTTGGGTGTACAATGCTAAAGGGCATGCCATTTTGGAAGTTAGGCAGTTGAAAAAGAACTGGAGGTCCTGCAAATCTACATGATGTGGGTAGTTCTGGCCCCATAAAGATCCTAGAATTCTGGACATAAACCCTCCATCTACCCTCTATACAGTCTCTACAACTTACATAGAGACCATATTCAAAGGGTACAAGGAGGGTCCTGGTACGGAGGCAGTGGGATACAAGGACATGGCCAACAGAAGCGCCATCGGGACGTTTGAAGGAGGCTCCGTACCGAGTGGATGAAGTTCCTCTGCCGCTGCGCCCGGAATATCACCCGTATCCAGGACCTTTAGAGCTTGGGGGGGTTCGTACATATGCTTTGCATGGCCCCTATCAAAACGCATTCCAGAAAAGCCAGCTCCTGCATCGCACACAACAAACACGAAGAGTGCCCCGCAAAGCCCGCAGAAAAACGCATCCTAAGAAAGAACCGCAAAAAACAAACACGGAGAGAGCCCTGCAGCTTTGAAACCAAAGAAACTCCATGGTTCCGTGGAAGTCATGAACACTCTACCGCCGAACGTCGGGGTATGCGGAACTTCACAGACTAGCCCCACGTGCCAATTACAAACTTCAGGACCCAAAGTGAGTGCTAACAAACTCTAGAGCCCGGAAATCATGAAGCCCGGAAGCTGTGTCTCTTCTTCCACCTTCGTTGCAACCAACTCCCCGACAGCGTGCTTGACCTTGGACTCCAAGGACTCTAAGGGGTCCTCCTCGGCGCTCTCGACCTTCGGCGGCGCAGCGTCCACAACGATTTTCTTCACCTTCTCTGCAGTGGCCTTCTGCTCCTCAGCGTCCTCGTCGGCGCTCTCGACCTTCGGCAACTCAGCGTCCTTCACAATTTTCTTGACCTGCTCTGCAATGGCCTTCTGCTCTTCAGCTTCCTCGTCGGCGCTCTCGACCTTCTTCGGCACAGGGTCCTTGAGGATTTTCTTGACCTGCTCTGCAGGGGCCTCCTGCTCCTCAGCGTCCTCAACGCTGTTCTCGGCCTGCTCTGCAGTCTCCTCATCGGCACTCTCGAGCTCCTGCACAGCAGCGTGCCTGTCTTCGACCTCCTCTGCAGCGGCCTTTTGCTCCTCAGGGGTCTTAACAAGGTCCTCCATCTGCTGTGTGGGCTCCTCTTCAGCGCTCTCGACCTCCTGCTCGGAAGACTCCGGAGCATCCTTAATGACTTCTTCTTCGATCGCCTCTGCAGTCGCCTTCTGCTCGTCAGCGCTGGGAAGCAGGCTCTCGGCCGGCTCCGCAGTCT